TGGGACCAGCCCACTCACACTCGGCGCACACACACGTCGTGACCTGCCTTGGGAACTCAAATCCCTGGCAAGAAGAGAAATACTACTTGGCTACAACATTTGTTTCCTAACAAAACAAAAGAAAAAAACCCCAAACAACCCTTACTCCCCCCCCTCCAAAAAAAAAAAAATCCCACTAATTGCAAGGTGCCACCCTCCTGGCTGCAAAGGGGGAGAATCAACTCCCCAAAGCCCTAAGGGCATTTTTCTTTTGTCTGGTTCTTGGCTTCTCCTTGGCTGCCCTGGGAAAGGGGTTTTACATTGGGAAGGCTGGTGTAAAGTCACCAGAAAGTCAAAATTCAGGCTGTTTGCCCCCTACCCCCCCCACCCTGGAGGCTGCCTGGAAAGCTGGGACCCTGCTTTTCGCCTCCCGGGTCAAATCACAGACAGTAAATGGCTTTTTTTTGGTCCCCCAGGACCTCAGTCCCATCCATTTACCAAAAAAAAATGTCCACCTGGAGAAGGACACAGCGGGGCCTGACCCTGCAACAGCAAGAGGCAACCCACGGGGCTACCGCCAGCAGCGAGGGGCTCTCTGCTTTGAATTGGGTTTAAATCTTTATAAAAAACTAACACACACATACACACACACACCAAATTACCTCCCCCCCCATCTCTTTAACCCTGCCATTTCCCTGGAGCTGCAAGTCCCTTGGGGGCAGAGATTTTTGCCAAGCCCTGGCCATCTGCTTGTCCCTTCCATGAACCCCCTTGTCCCCCCCCCCAAAAAACCCCACCACCCCCCCCCCCCCCCCCCCGCCCCCGCCTGTCACCGGCCCGGGCCACGCCGCTCTCCCCCACCGCACCGTGCCCTCCCGGCCCCAAAAATGCCCCTTTTCAGCAGAAAAAAAATAAGGATAACGATTAAAACAAAAAAAAGATAGCTTTGGTTCTCTCTCGTCCTCCCCCCCCCCACACCCCTCCCCACCGTGGTTCCTTTGTCTGGCTTCCCCCATCCCTCCCCGCCTTTCTTGCGGGGGTTTCTACCGCTTTTTCTTCTGCTTGAGGGACTTCCTCCGCTTGAGGATCATCTCGTAGAGCTTGTCCATGCCCTCCGTCAGCCCCTCGCCGATGATGGCGCAGGCGGGCTGGATGTGGTAGGTGGTGGAAGGGGTCAACTCGTGGAGGGCCAACTGCTTCTCGATCTCGGCCACCGGGAGGGATTTGGGCAGGTCCTGCTTGTTGGCGATGACCAGGAGCGGCGTGCCTTGGTTCTCGGCGAACTTAGTCACCTTGTGAAGCTCCGTTTTGGCTTCTTCCAACCGATCCACGTCCACCGAGTCCACCACGTAGATGATGCCGTCGGTGCAGCGGCTGTAGGACTTCCAGAGCGGGCGTAG